ATATACATTAAGCCATACCGTCCATCCTACGATAAGCATATTTAAAATTAAATAATATAGTTATATATGTGAAACATAGAAGTGAACTAAAAATAAAACCAAATCTTTAATAATTTTCCATTATGTCAGAAAATATTCGCCAAAATTACTGTATTATTACGGTAATTATTTGGAATTTTTTGGGTAAAATTTGGGCATCAATGCGGTAATTGTATAGTTTATTTTTGGTAACTGTACAGCATAAGTGCAGTATATATACTAGATATTTACAGTATAAAAACTGGCCGAAATAACTATAGTTTAACCGCATTATTACCGAATTATAACGGCAAATATATGGCATGAGCATAAATGCCGAAAAATTACGGTATTTTTACGGCATTCTTAAAACCGCGAGGGAAATCATTTGTTTTTTATGTTTAAAAATGGTATCTAATAAATGGTTTATTTACTATTAACAAATCTTTTGCAAATAAATCATTCTGGGTAACAATTTTCAATATAATAGTGAGAAAATTTGATTGTTTTTTAACCGATTAACCGTTTAATCGGTTAATCAGTTAACCGTTTAGTTAATTTAACCGGTTAACTAGTTAATTAATTTAACCGGTTAGTTTAAGTTAATTAGTTGGCTGCTGAACTAATTAACCTGGTTAAACTTTATGGCCGGTTTAAACGGCCAAATTGTACAGCACTAATTATCACCGCCACATACAAAACAAACAGATAGAAATCTGGAACCAAAGAGTCAGCGAATTGATCGCTGTTTTCAAAGAGCACAATGAGATTCTTAAAAATCTATCAAACAAGCTTGCTAATTGATGAAACATAAACTCATGTTGACATCTATTTTCCACATCGATGATCGCTATTCGTTAATAAGTTAAGGAGTTATGGATATTCTAAGACTGTAAAGTAAGCAGTAACACAGCTTTACTCCAAATTACTCAACTCTGCGACATCCTGTACTCTACTAAAATAATTGATTAACTTAAAAAAAAAAAAAAACTTTACTTAATTGACCATTTCACCCGTGCCACCGTGCCCCGTGCTCCCCCGTGCCATCGGGCGAATATTCACGCTCTTTTTTTATTTAATGACAGAGAATAGTGACTACTCTCAAATTAATTTTGATCAACTAATGTTTATCAAAAATAATTTAGTTATTTAAGAAATGGCCATAATTATTTATTTTTATTATAAAGTAGTGATTATTTATAACATCGTCTTACATTAACAGTTGGAACTGCATCCATTTGTTTATCATAATTCCGGGATCGATGATCTTGTTTATTTAATTGCGCTGTATTGGTTGATGATTTGATTTTTTCCGTCATTATTCAATGTATATAATAAAACTTACAGAATGTTAACATTACAAATTTGTAATAAAATCAAGTAGCTTTAAATGGTAATCATTTAGGGGAAAAACAGAAGAACACAGGTCGGAAAAAAGAGGGGGTGTAAGGTATTTTCCACCAAGCGTAGTTGGAAACGTTCAACAAAAATTCCCAACCTGTCGTAAAGAAACAGTAACTTATCTAGTAATGATTATTCACTCGTTTGCGTGCTACGAATACCACTGCACATAATATAATAAAATAATAGTATATTGATCTAATATTACAGTCACTGAAATAGCTATAAAAAAATCTGATAAACAAATTTACTAATTGTAATCTATTCAGATGAGAGTGTCGAAATGCTCTGCTCGAATAGAAAAAAAGCAATTTTAATTAATTTTATTGAGTGATGACGTGATGTTTAAAATTATTTTGATATCTTGTTACAATGATTAATTTATTCATGTAATATGTAATATGTAATCGATAATTTTACAGCAATTGAATTTCATTTAAAATATATAAATTAAATTAAATATTAAGAATGAGCGCTCAATTGACAGCTAGTGTCGCCAGCCAGAATCCACTGGAGGCAGCACTAAAACGAATAACAGTGCCGTATCAATTGTATGAGCTTACTGAAAAAATTATTTATTAGACGGATCCGTATAATAACGGCTCCGTTATATTACGGAGCCTTGCTATGCCTATTATTGTTTTTCGGATCCGTACAATAACAGCTCTTTTAATATACGGGTCCGTACAATAACAGCTCTCTTATTATACGGATCCGTATAAATACAGACGCAAAATTGCCTCCATTTTGCAAAATAGAGCTGTTAATATACGGATCCGTATAATAACAGCTCCGTATATTAACAGGTCCGTATCGTCCAGAAATTGACGGAAATCTACGGCCGCAACTTGAATACAAGTTGTTGTATAGCCCAAAATTGGCTATAGTAAATTTATTGAGTTCTTTTAATTCACCCGTTGGAACGCGGTAGGGCGTTCAACTCGCAGTAAATAGATTAAGGCGGGAGAGTAGATTTAAATTCGAATAAGTTGAATTAAATAACATATATAATAAATTTAAAATACTCGGATTATTTTAGTTTAATTTAGATTTGCCTTGCGCGCTAATCTATTATTTATTATTCAGTAAATTACAAAATAAAAGTACCGACAATAATTCCGAAAAAGAAAATATTCGCGCGTGGCGTACTTAAGTGTTGCTTATTGATAAGTGTCCTCTTGTTCCTTGGTTTTCGACTCCCCTGGTTGAGATGTTCGTACTTTTGGAGTGGGAGAGGCCCAGAGGGTAGTGAGGGTAGTTGCGCGCGCCTCTGCAGCTCTCATCTTCGGCTAGCATCCCTTCTCGAGTTGGCAAAATGGGACCATGTTGAAATGACGTCACGATGACCCTCGATGTTTCCAGGTCATTTGCAGTCCGCCTGGATATCTGGTTTTTATGACCTAGCCTTGGGTACTCGAGTAATCCCTTTTTAAATGAACATTTTGGAAGATAAGCCTCTTAAGAGATTATGGCAATAAAAATTAATAAATAAAGATCTCTGGGTTTTCCAGTTTCGTAAAGAATATTCCAAAACGTTCAGTATTTTATTCTAAGTGACCATTACATTTAACGTAAACTTATTTCAACAAAGTAATTTTAAATTTTTCGGTATGTCTAGACTACAAATCGGTACTAAAAATTTTGTAAGTTTTTTCCTCGGGAATTTTCGGTGATTATGAATTCACTTAGACCCTAAAATTTATGATAGAAAAATTCCCATACTTAACAATAGAATTTAAAATAGAAAAGCTTACAACATTTTAGAGATTCTTATTTTTGTTACTAATACTACTACAAATAAAATACATATATTTTAAATCTTACTGGGTTTTTCCCGCTATCATTTATTGCAGCCATCTTTTTATATTTAATTCTATATTAATATACAGAGAGCGTTGTGATCAATCCTTTCGGATTCACAACAAAGTTAACAATCAAACTTGTAGTTAAATTTCCTTTCAACTTTACTACAATTTGACGGAAATACTTGTACAGCAAGTTTTGACGTTTTGACGTCTATTTGCAGAGTAAGTTATAGGTAACTAATAGGTAATCGCTCACTTTGCCAAGTCTTTCCGTCAAGTTTGCTTCAAATTGCGGACGTAGATTGACAGTAAGTTATAGGTAAAGGTGGCTATCAGGGTTATTATTTTTATTATATTATTAAGTTTCTTGATTTTATCCATAGAGGGCGTTGCGATCAGGCCCACGGATACACAACACTACATACATAACATACATATGTATTTTGACGATGATTTCACTTGTTTACATATGTTCTCTTTCAGTATTATAAATATTAGAAATGGCATAGTTAGAAATGATAGAACTATCAAAATAATTACATTGGGTATTGACTGAACGATAATTTTATTTTAGTTTCATTTACACAATTATTTACTTGCTATTTTTTACTAAAAAAATGTTCTATTGATAAAAATGAGTGTGCCGAAAAAATATTTATTTTGGTTTGCACAGGAGCACGTTGATTTTCGTGTAGCGGTAAGTTAAAATATCAAATTCAAATAGTTCTAAATGTATTTTCAAAAATTTTCATATTTTTATTGATATCTCAATTTGGACTATAAAAAATTCCTGCTTAAGACGGCGTTTTTTTTTTTTTTAAATAAATGTTTTGAAAATGAACATTTTAGTATTACCAAAGTTTGGTTTTTTTTTTTCTTCCCCGACAGAAAGTTCTAGAAATTGACTTAATTTTCAGGAAATTGATTCAATTCTAAGCTTATTCAAAATAGTCTCATCCAAATTGAAGCCAACTGAGGCACTAACACATCAGGTAAAGTATAAAAAATAGATTATTTTTTTTATTTTGAGCAGAAATTTTGTACTTTTATTTTTGTAGCCTTATTGGATTGTCGAAACTGACTGCGAAGCAACTATTAAAAAAATAGCTAACAGATCTGTGTCGATAAGATTTTGTATAGAACTTTGGACGCAAGCATCAGATTTTTCTAAATTTCATGAAAGTCTACGATTATACTCAAACGAAAAGATATCATATCATTCACATCGAGAAAAATCATTCAAAATTATTGTTGAAACTTTCTGCAAACATTTTTCTCAAAAAGAAAAAGTTGCCAAAATTGAAGTAAGTATTTCAACTCGCGTCGTTAAAAACAAGTAAATAATATTTAAATTCATTTGCAGACTCTTAATTATTTACCGTTTGAAGGACCAGTGGATTTGAGTAATCCTGACAACAGCTTCTATTACATCGAGTATTATGGCATTAATTCAAATAATAAATCTGAGAAACCAGAAAAACTATTTTTTGGTAAATGGGTTAGTATCAGCTTTTGAACTATCGAGAGGTTTCAATAAAATTGATTGAAAATTCAAAATAAATTTAATTTTCAGATAGCTGACGGCCAAAGAAACTTGATTCAGAAATTATCATTAAAAACTCGAAAATTTATTGGAACTACTTCCATGGACCCTCAACTTTCGTTACTTATGGCTAACCAAGCACAGGTTAAAAATGGTGATATTATACTTGATCCGTTTGTTGGAACCGGCTCTCTTTTAGTAGCTGCTGCACAATTTGGTGGCTATATTATAGGAGCTGATATCGATTTCATGATGCTGCATGCCCGAACAAGACCAACAAGAATAACTCAAAAAGTATTGTTTTATTATGTTTTTCAAATATACATTTAATATTTTCTTCAACTCTCCATTGTTCGCGATGACAGAAACTATTTCAAAATATTAAAATTATAATTTTATTTAATATTAAAATTAATTTTATTAATAATATAGACAAGAAGCAGTGATGAAAGTGTAGCCGCAAATATTAAACAATATGGAAAAAGCTCTTGTTACCTAGATGTTGTTGTGTCAGATTTTTCAAAAGCTATGTGGAAACCACAAATGCGTGTCGATGTCATCATTACTGATCGTAAGAAAACCTATTATTATTTTGATTGCAATATAAAATATTTTTATCCATCTTATTTATACTTGCAGCACCTTACGGAGTTCGAGAAGCAACAGAACGTATTGGAACTGTAAAAAAAAGTCCAATTATTCAGGAAAACCAAGTATCTACTCATATACCATCAAAAATCGTATATAGTTTACCTCTTATATTCAATGACTTATTAAAGTTTGCTGTTCAACATTTGGTACTAAATGGAAGGCTGGTTTGCTGGTTTCCAGTATATCGGTAATATTTTATTCTTTTATTTTAGTCTAATAAGTTTGTTTCAATTCAATAAAATTTTTTATTTTCATAGAGAATGTTATTCCATAGAACAATTACCATCCCATCCTTGTTTACAAATGATTGCTAATTCAGAACAAATATTAAGTATTCATGCAAGTCGAAGACTATTAACATATATGAAAATAAGAGAGCCATGTGATGACGATGCTGTAAATACTTTGAATATGTTAGACTTCAGAGAAATGTATTTTGCATTGAGAGATGAAACACGTAAAGAAAAAAGAACTAAACAAGCAATAGAACGAGCAACAAATAAAGCAAAATGGGAAGAACAATGTAAAAAATAAAAATAAATAATTTCAAGTTGATTAAAAAATTTTATATTAACAAATAATGAAAGATGTTTTAATTATCCTAATCAACCACAATCTCAATTACTTTTTGCTCAAAACATAACTTTTTGTGATAATCAAAAAAAGTAATTCCTTCACTGTTTTCCTGAAAAAAAAGAAACCCAAAATAGATCATGCTCTTCATTTTTATTCTCAATACTATTTTCCTGATCTATCATTTTCGGATCTTCTTTTTTTGAAATTCACGTTTTATACAATAACGAACTAGAAACATTACAATTACTAGTAGATTCTGCAGTAATTTAACCATTTCATTTGTTCTTATAACAAATCACTTTTAAAAAATTGCGCTATTTTCCGTCTCCGCTACGTAAATTCTGCTACAATACTATATTATGTGACTAGGGATGAAACAAGACGAAGTCTGAAATCATCTTGTTTCATCCCTAGTCACACAAGTTCGAAGAGCTCAAAAGCATAGGAAAGCTATCTCTTTGAGCTTGGAGAGTTCAAAATAACTCATAAATTGTATTTTTGTGTTCGAAGAGCTCAAAAACGTCATAAGTGCAATTTTGAGCGCCTAGATATGAAATTAGCGGGCTTGCAGGAATGGCATTCAGGGTCACCCGTTTTCCTATTTTTTTTTTTACACGGGAGTGATTTAAGTCGATTTTTTGTATTTATAAATAAATATTATAATTTTTTTAAATAGTTCGATGTTTGAGGCCTGATAACTCCGAAATGGTTCTCCGTACACATATATTCAATCGGACAATTTTTGTAGATCGTTAAATTTCCTACAAGAATATGTATCGATCATAGCTATAAAATACTTCGTTATCGACTAGCAAAATTCAAAAGTAAAAAAAAAAATTTTTCCATGTTATTTAAGGAAGTACGAGCACCAAGACAACTTTCGATAAAAAGCTTGATTTTTTTTTAATATGAAGTTTAAATATGTCTAAACAAATTAAATGGAAATAAAAAATTAAGTACAGCTACCTCTATACATTAATCTTAAAGGCTGAGATTTTCACAATGTCTTTGATTAGGGATACTCTGATTAGGGAAATATTTTCAATTTTCTTCGAAAAAAAAAATAGTGTGTTTTTTTTAAACACTATTTTATATATATATACTAGCGTACCCAGCCCGCTTCGCCGGGCTTTATTTAAGCATACAGGAATTTAATTATTAACCAAGGGCTTAACCAAACTTAGCTTTTTAATACACTTTGGACCGATTCAGGCCGGTAGATTTTGAGAAATCTCAAAAAAACTACAAATAAAATTTTTTCAAATGTGGTTTTTTTCGATTTACTTTCAAACGGCTCTATCGATCGATTCTAAAAACTAATCAGCTCTTAACATCGAAAGACCACATCGATTGCCGCCAGTCCCGTCAAAATCGATTGATTCGTTCGTAAGTTATCGTTGTCGAAAGAAAACTGAAAAAGTGTTTTTTTGAAATCACTCCAAAATTCCTAGTTCAATCAATCCATACTTAAAGATTCTTCATGAGGTTTCAAAAACTGCGTCGAATGTTGCCAACCGCGTGAAAATCGGTTCATTCATTCAAAAGTTATTGCGGTTTGAAAATTCAAAAAATTGTGTTTTATTAAACTGTTATTAAAGTTTTGAACTCGGAGAGCTAAAAATGACACAAAAATCATATTTTTGAGCTCGAGGAGCTCAAAAACGTAATGTGTAATTTTGAGCGCTTAAGTACAAAATGAGCGCGAAGTTGTAGGGATGGCCTTTAGTGTCAACTGTCGTCCTAATTTTCTTCTATTCGTTTTTCTGCCAGGTGAAGATCATCACCTACACCCATAATCATATTAGTTAACACAATATTGTCTCTACGATGAACGCAAAAACAAATAGGGCTTGCTTGAATATTCACAATAAAAGTTCAATAAAAGTTATTTAATATTAAGTTACATATCTCTAATGATGTGAATTCACTTATAATTTACCTGATGTTTATTAAGTTTGAGAATATAAAGTGCCGAATAATCCCCAACATCATTACATATATAATTAAAATTATTATGCTCAACAGTGAACATAATATAGTTCATTTTCCCATATGATCTTACACCAATTACACTCGAAATTATGCCACCAATTCTTATACAGAGTGTCCCAGAAGTACCGGACGCCATTGTAGCATTTGATAAAAAAAATAATTCTGAGACGAAAAGTCCTTAGCCATTTTTTAATCAAACGCGTAGATAATTAATTATTAATTAAAATAACGTCCTTTTACGCGTTAGAGAGAGAGCACCAGTGTCCAGTCAAGTGCGTTCCAAACGAAGACGCTTGCACGTGTGAATGTGTTAGTAAATGTGGGTGACTACGTTAGCTATAGTAGCTAGTTAGTCATACAGTTAGTTGTGTCTTTGTTTGGCATATACTTTACTGGACACTGGCGCTCTCTCTCTAACACATAAAGAAACGTTATTTTAATTCATAATTAATTATCTATGCATCTAATCAAAAAATGGCTAAAGACTTTTCGTCTCAAAATTATTTTTTTCATCAGATGCTACAATGGCGTCCGTTACTTCTGGGACACCCTGTATAAGTAATAAAAAAAAATTAAATTTCCAAAATTTTCTTCAATATATTAATGACATAAAAATACACGACACACGTGTTGTCTTGAATCTTAAATTGGTTTATGAAAACAAAAGAATATACAATATCAGTAATAAAAAATTAGCACTTAAAAAAATGTCATTGACAATCCAAAAAAAAAAATACTCCGATCACCGCGAAACTTTACAGGATTAAGGATTACTCGCCAGGTCAATCTGGAGATTCCCTAAAAGTTTCATTAAAATCGGTTCAGCCGTTTCGGAGCCTATATGGAACATATCCACACACTTTCTTTTATATAATATAAATAAGTATGAAAAAGGAGTGATTGATGTATAGGTGTGTTATGTCTAAGGGCGTTTTTAGGGCGGTAGCGTAAACGGTGGAGGTTTGGACTAACCGTTTAAAGAATACGCAACGGAGGTTTAAATTCCGTTGTTTTAATTGTTTATGTGGGACGTTTCGATGTACGAATTTACCACGCCTTCGTTCGAGACTGCACGAATTTTTATTAGGAGTAGATGTACTTACTACTTGCTGGATTATTTCTTAAGATTGGATCCGTGATTCTGGGGCTGATCGTAGTGCCTTTTCCTTGATTGGACCCTCTGTTGGTATTTGCAGCGGATGGATGTGGATGGATTTGGGCTGCTTATTCTAAGGGCTCCTTATTTTATGAAATGAACTTATTCGAAATAAATTTCACCTTTCAAGATTTATTTAACAAACACCAAAACCTTTACACTTTCACAATTTTTATTAGATCGAAATTATCATTAATGAATTTTATTTCTTTGAGCTAACGTCCTCTAATGTCCCGTAGTAGTCTAGTGAACAAGTTCAAAAACGTGAAAAATAGAGATAAAGGTCCTAAAAATATGAGCGATGGCTCATTCGATTCGGAATCACCTCTAGAAAAATGTTTTTGAAGGATTTTGGTGCAGGTTAAAAATTGCAATTGTTATTAACAAAATAAGATGAAAAAAAATGATATTTCGTTTTTTGTTAATAACTTGAAAAATATTAACATTTAAGCAATTTTGAAAAAAGCTCGTTAAAGAGGAGGAAATTTCCAATAAAAAAGTCCTGACTCCCGGAATTCTATCTCCATTATTTATAATTTTAATTAGACGTTGAAAATAGGGCTCCGCGCGACAGTTACGGCATACGCGCGCCGCTGCTAAAGAGAGTTCAGCAATAAAAATAATTTTTTTATAACATAAAATGCTCTTTATTCTCAGTGGTTTTTCCATCGTTGATACTTAAAAAAATAGAATCGAACAGATACTAACATTCACCAGCTAACTAGTGTTCAAGTTCGATGGTTACCCCATCGACTAACTCTCCAAGGGACGATTTGTCCCAAATTGTTAGTGATGATGGAATATTACCATCCACTTGAATTAGAATTATACTAGCAAAAAAAATGACCGTAAAGGCAGGAACGGGTTTTAAAAGAATTATAATTATCACGGTCGGAAAATTAATAAATAGTTATATACTGTATATTGCGGAAATTAAAAAAAAAGTTTCAAGATACGTTGAACGGCATATATTTAATGAAAATATCAGACATTTCTACTTTCAAGTTTATACACAAATATTTAAACAACGTTCTATGACATCCAAAAGAGTAATTTTTCAAAAGGTTTTTTTTTTAACGCTAGATTACTCGATACCGATAACAGTCGTTCTCTTTCACATAAACTAAAAGTAAAAAAAAAACTCTATAAATCAAGAAGAACAAAATTACTTAAAATTATAGCAATAAATAATGTTATTTTTGTAATTATTATTTTAAAAAGTGAAATTTTTTCAGTTTTCAACTTGACTATATTTAATTTTTAGTTCTAAAAATTTACTATTCAATCTAACTGAAATATTACAGTTAAAAATTTTATGTAGAAAGTATTTAAATAAATGTAATTAAAAGTTTACAACTATATCGTTCCACGGAGTCAGCATTGATAATTTTATTGAGAAATAAAAATAAATCAAGCTTATACGCTAAGCCGAATGTATTAAATTTCAAACCGAAGGTTACCGAAGGATAAATTCTTAAAAATATACTTTCTCTACATGCAAGACAGATACCTGTTTCGTATCTTCAGTTTACTAATCAGTCTTTGCATCGATGTTAACCGCTATAATTTCGAGTTCTATAAATAAAATAAGATTGATATGGTGTCTGTTCTAAAAAATTTTATTTCATTACTAAATACGTAAAATTTAACTAAATTTTTCAAACGTTTTTGATACAAAAATTTTTTCTACCGATCTCTTTTGGTTAGGATGGCCGAAAAAGTAAAAAAAAAGATTCTTTTGAATCCAACAATTATATCAAAAGTATGTACTATATATGTTTGTGCTATGATAATTAAAAATTCCCCAAGTAAGAAATGATTTATTTCACTTTAATCGTCAACAACACGAGTTTTCAATAGATTTTGGCACTTTTAATTTTTTGAAACTGTTTCAATGTTACTTATAAGTAGATTGTGTGTTACATACACGTATTTTGACGATCTGAAAACAATTTATATATCATATCAGTCTCATTTGTCTGGACTGAGAAATATAACTGTTATCTGATTTTCATCTCGTTTAAGATATTTTCGGGTGTAATGTACAGCAAAAAGAAATTTTAAATACTTATAGATGAGTTGGAATAATGTTAAACATTTAAAATCTTTTGGACTATTAAAAATAATTAAAGTAAGGAAAAAAATTTTTTTGAGAACAAAATTGACCCTGTAGGCCATCTCTTCTGTTTTATTTTTTTTTAGCTTAAAGCGTTCAAAAATTTTTCTATGACAGGAGTTATTGAGATCTTTGAGTTATAATTTTTTGTAATTTATTTAACTCTTCGGTCAATCCGTTCAAAAGATATCCCTGATTAAGAAATCTAATTTGAAATGATTTAAATGGATCGGATTTTAATACTATATAGATATTAGGGTGCTTCATTTTTAGGCGATATTTTTTTTTTCTCTGTGCTACCTGAAAATCTGATACTTTATAAAAAATAAAAAATTATGCCGCCGAGTAAAAGGCTGTAAGTGCAATAGCGGCTTAGCTCATTTAAAAATTCACTTTCCTATTTAAATAACATAGAAAAATTTTTTTTTTCGGTTTCAACTTGATTTTTCGACGTGAAAAAAATTTTTTTGGAAAAAACGCTCGTATAGCTTTTGTAGAGCATAAAATCTGCTACAAAAAGTTCCTCTGCGTAAATCCCCTCCGACCAACAGCTTTTAAGTTAAGCATTGATATTGATTTGACTTGTACAGATTCCGAATTCCCTCGAATTAGCCTGTACCTTTTATCTATGTGATTTTTCTAGCTAATATTGATTGTAACTTTCAATGCGCAATTATTATAACATTTCCTTGGCTTTCTTACAAAAATGAAAAATAAAATTATCACCAAAAAAAAAATTTGAAATAAGCATTGAGTTTCAATTGAAGTAATTGCAGGTCTCATAAGTGAAATTGAAATCTGCCTAGCTTAAAATGCGACGAATTTTCCGTTAAATAAAATTTTCTCCGTGGCGTTAATTTTTTATAGAAAATTAGTGAACATGTTTTTAGTAGATTTCATAGAAATCTAACTATTGCATTTGTCCTCATGACGCAAATTTTGAAAAATTTTGCTATTTTCTGACTCAGTTCGTCAAGCTGGTTCAGAAAATGCCACTAGTTCAAAAGTTTATATATGTATGTATGTATTTATATATATATGCGATATAACGCGGCTTATCCGGACGATAGCGTCTCTAATTCATAATGGATCCTTTCCAAACTCAACATACTTCATTTTTAGACGAATACCAAGGCCAAGTTTAAAGATGAGCTAAATCGGTCAAGTAGTTCAGAAATTACAGGGTTCCAAAATTTTCAAAATCCTAAAAATTCATTTGTTGGCTGATTCTTTCGCGCATAACTTTTGAATGAAATAACTTATCGAATTTTTGTGAATTGCATTTTAAAGCCCATTAAACAAGCTTTAATTTTCGTACCATTTCATTCTTCTAAGCTTAAAATAACCTATTCGTCTGTAGGTTTCAATGAAATTTTACTCTTGCAGTCGTTTCTTCGATTGATTTGTCCAATATATCTCCTATAAATCTATATATATTTTCATCTTCATTTATGAAATCTACTTCCATTTCGGCTGCCGAATGACCTTTTTTTATGAATTCTATTGAAATAAGTAGCCAAATTTCTTTCCCATATCTCAAGTGCTTTTGGAAAATGCACTCATTTTAATCTTCCGAGAAAAAATATTTATATATAATTATATATATTTATATATAAATTGGTTATATGTGATTATATATGAAAAATGGCCAAATATAATCATATCTAATTATATATAATTATGTATAATTATATATAACTATATATAATTATATATAACAATATTTAATTATAGATTTATTACATCTAATTAATTATTGGGTTAATTTTATGAATAGAGTATTTAATATGGTCCTACGCAATTCTGTGTAACTGATCAAAATGCAAAAAAATATCTAGATCTAATTTTATGGCTATAACACCAGCGGTCACCCATCCAACTATTAACCCTACTCAATGCTGCTTAACTTTGGTGATCTCCGTGCGTCTTGAAGTTTCTGTCTGCTGTGCTGCTGTCTTAGACAATAATGATTCTATGATCTACTTAATGTATCATATGAGTTTATCATAAATATAATATAAAAATTGATTTTATAATATATTTGGATAGTCATAATTATGACTTGTTTGTTATTCGAGATATGTATTATTATCTATTTATGTTTCTATTTTTTGACAAATTTGTTTTTTAATGTATTTATCTGAGCTATCTAATAATTTTTCTCGCATATTCTATACACTCACATTAAGATGTTCCTCTCCATAATCCTTTCTCAATCCTTTCCTAACAATTATCCTATTACGTGAATGTTGGAACGCTTCACGTAATAATTATCCGTAACTCCTATTCTTTCACAGCATTTATATTTGTTAAAAATGTGGAACGCTTCACGATTTTGCGTGAATGGAAACAAATATAAATAATGCTGTGAAGCGAGAAAGAATAGGAGTTACGGATAATTATTACGAGAAGCGTTCCAACATTCACGTAACAGACCTAGCCTTTGATTATGTAGACACAAAAGTCATTCTAGTCGCACTATATGAACTGGGTTTTTCAATGGAAGTGATAAATTGGTTCTTCCCATACCTATCAAACTGTTTCCAATCTATCTTAAACGAACATAAAAATTTCAATTGTACTTCTAAGAACATCGTCAGGAGTCCCTCAAGGCTCTGTGCTTGTGCCAATACTATTTCTCATGGTCATGAATTCTGTGGTCATGAGGATAACACAGGTCCACAAAAAAAAAGTGGTCTGTGCTGAGTGTGCGAAATATATTTTCTGACGTATTTTTTACCGCTGAACACGAATCTGAACTTCATTTTTAGGCGATATTTTTTTTTCGGTCCCATCGTGAAATTTTGTTGCAAGTACCCCAGAAAAAATACCCTGAAAGTTTGGGCCCTTAATATTGATATTAAGACCTCGACCCAGGCGTTTAAAGATTTCCCCTTAAAAAAAACACAGAAACTCTTTTTTTTAAAAGATATTTTTTTATAATTTAACGCAATTTTCGATAAATATTTGAAATTACTAAAAATTGATCATTAAATACCTCTGAAAATTTTGATTTTAGCGACTTGGTGCTTAGGACCTTTTTTGTAGGAAATTGAATTTTCTACAAGTTTGTCGTCAAAATTTTTTCTGTAGCTCTTGTCATTCACGAGATAAATGCGAAAAAACGCGAATTTCATAGAAAAATCAAGTTTAGAGGCCTGTACTACCTTGCCGGTTCGAGTTACGGCTTGGCCGCATGGGACACATGGGACACTTGTCGAGCATTCAATTTTGAAAAAAACCCGTACATGGTCAAAGCGATGCTATGAAATGCCACTGAGCTATAGTAATTTAAACGAAAAAATCAGAGTTTCTGTGTTTTTTTAAGGGGAAATCTTTAAACGCCTGGGTCGAGGGCTTAATATCAATATTAAGGGCCCAAACTTTCAGGGTATTTTTTCTTGGGTACTTGCAACAAAATTTCACGATGGGACCGAAAAAAAAAAATAGTTAAAAAAAAAAGCACCCTAATATATATAATATATATAAATATAAATATATGAAAAAATGATGTGGGTACTTGAATGAAAGGTCTTGATGAGTGTAACATCGGAATGAGCTTATATCTTAAAAAATGTCAATAGTTCGCAAGATTCAAAGTCATTTCTTAATTATGTATTTAGAGATAGAGCATTTTCGAATGCAGCCTAAATACTTATCATCATAAATTAACTATTAGTGAGAATGATATGAAACCATAAAAAGGAACAACTCCAGGTCAAGACTTTTCGAACGATACCAAATTTAACCATAAAAAACACATTTTATCATATAAATACCCTGGCCACAAAATTCTGCTTATTCTCTTAATAATAAAGATTATTATTATTATTATTATTATTATTATTATGTTATTGATAATGTTGTTGATTAATTCAGTGCTTACTTTTACTGAATATATAGTTCATAATACAATTGGTAACTTTAACTACTTGTGATGGTAAATGTAACCATCTCGATAGTAAATGGTACGATCGCTCTATTTTAAGAATTATTATTTTATTATTGTACTGATTATAATTTAAATTGTTATATTTATCATTTTAACTTTCATAAAATTAATTACTATCTAAGATAGTAAAATCTACAAAACAAGTATTGTTAGGGTTAATATAAAATTCTTTCTGTGCACGATTAATAATCTAATAGCTCAAATGAATATTGGAATTACAAATTGGGTTTTTGAAAATCAGTTAGGGTTAATATAAAATTCTTTCCGTGCACGATTAATAATCTAATAGCTCAAATGAATATTGGAATTACAAATTGGGTTTTTGAAAATCAGAATAAAACTATGTGATGACTTTTTAAGTAATAAAAAACTACGCTTTTCTAGGTAAAAAGTTTAATTTAATGTGACGTATTTTTTTTGATTTTCCAGATTCATAATAGACTTAGCAAATTGCAGAATTATATTTTGAATACAAAAATTAAAGTATTTTATAGCAGCGTAATTTACATTGTTATACTATTGACATTTTTATACTTACTGTCGTCAATAATTTTATTTTATAATAGAGAATGTGCAGAGAAAAAAGATTTCCAACAGTTACATGATACTAAACCGATTTACTGGATTTTTTCTAAAAGTAAAGATGAAAGTCATTTGAAACACGTTATCATGATTTTAGAAAGATTAGGATTTCGCAGAGGAGATAATAACTCTCATTGGGATTTATTATGGGCTCATGATTATCCTTTTAAAATACTTGCTAATAGTCTCAAATATCTTCGTGAATACCAAAAAGTTAATCATATTCCAGGCTGTGGATTCATTACCAACAAAGTAGATCTCTCGACAACTAATATTCAATACCTCCCTGCTTCATTCAGAATACCTCAAGATGAAAAAAATTTTTATGATTACATTGGTAAAAACCCTTATAAGTTATTCGTCGAAAAATCTAATTTTCATCGAGGCATAAGCATAAAAAATGTAGAAAACATAAAATTTAATAATAACGAAAATTTTATACAAGAATTTATTGAAAGGCCTTACCTTATAGATGGCTATAAATTCGATGTTGGAATTTATACCGTTATTACTTCTATTGACCCTTTAAGAGTTTATGTTTACAAAGGAGATGTATTGTTTAGATTTTGTTCACATAAATACTATCCATTTAACCCTGATGATTTAGACAAGTATATTGTAGGTGACGATTACTTGCCTATTTGGAATGTATCGTCTTTAAAACAATATTATGTAGATATGGGTTTCTCAATGAAAGACACATTCGATGCATATGTAAGATCACGAAATGAAGATCCTAATAAAGTCTGGGACAGTGCTTATCAAGCGATCAAATTAGTCGCTTCCAAAAAAGAGAAACAAATCGCTGATACTATAAGACATTTAAATAACACTATGAATTTCTTTGAACTCGTTAGATTTGATTTTATCATTGATGAAGATCTTAATGTGTTCTTAATGGAAGCTAACATGTCACCTAATTTATCTTCAGCTCATTATCCTGAAAATCGTTTACTATATGAGCAAGTTCTTTTTAATCTGTTTGCTTTAATCGGTATTGGTCAACGTATTGATCCAGCTTTTAGACGACAAAGGTTATAATTATATTGACTAATTAATTTCTTAGTATTTTTCAATCTTTTAGTGCCGTGATGATTATTTATTTTTTATATTTCAGCTCTTGGAGAGATCGAGCAGTAGAAGTTTCTGATAAAAATTTGGTCGTTTTTCCTGAAATTTGTTCTACGTGTACAGACTGTATCCGTTTCGAATGTCAACTATGTAAATTTTGTTTTACTGATGAACTAAGACTAATTCTGATCCAAAGTTATGTTGAGCATCAAAATAAAATGGATTATAAAAGAATTTTTCCACCAAATAATGTAAGAGATTAATCTACTTTCAATATTTATGAAATACTTTGCCATATTTTTATATTTTATTCTTATTTTTTAGATGCAAGTTATGCAATTAAATAATTATACTTTGAAAAATCAGTTATTGATGAAGTGGTATCAAGGAAAATGTGCAGTAGATCCGTCATGGTGCGAATAAATATTTATGAACTAGTATGAATATACAGGGTGTCCCAGAACACCCTGTATAAGCAGTACCCGACCCGAGTCGAAAAAATGAACTTATATGAGCTTACATCAATTGTTTTAGTATAGCAGTTCATTTAAGTTAATTTTTTCAACTCGGGTAGTGAAATAATTTTTTGATCAGGTATAATATAATATGACCAAAAATAAATTTTTAACATCAAGCCTGATTCAACTCTGATATAAAAAATGTCTTTTGGCAAAAATATCTCGGCAATCTTATCTCAGACAATAATATCTCATGACAAAAAAATCTCTAGCCAAAAAAATCTCCACTAAAAACATCTCATGAAAAAAGGATCTCTAGAAAAAAACATCTCCACCAAAAACATCTGAACTAAAAACATCTCATAACAAATTCTTCTCGACCATCAACATCTCATCGTTATGGTAACAAGCTTATGTGTTGGTCTAATATCGAATAAACACACATAAATGTTATGTGTGTTTACGAGTAAACACACATTCAAGTCATGTTTAAAAAGCGCAACACGATTACGCGCGTTTGTGTTGGCCTATTTGCCGAGATATCTTTGCCAAGACGTTATTGGCTGAGAATTATTGACATGGAACCGCCAAAATCTTGTTAAAAATTTTTGCGCGTAACTTATAACTTAATTAAAACTGTTCAGGATTTGTTTTGACATGTCTTGGAAGCTTCATAGTATGGTCTACTATGAAGGTAAGAGTCCCAGCAGCTGCTCACTTCATGTATTTTTTCGTCCTAGGCGGACGTATGGGGGTTTTTACGCGCAGACGACACTCAATTTGTAAATAATACGCGTACGCGCCAGTATCTACTGGGCTGTATAGAACTTTATACAGTCGAGGACAATGTCACGCAAGCGTCACCAATCTCTATACAGCCGAGTAGCTTACGTTTCAACTGTCATTTTAAATTAAAAAGTGCACCTTTGACTAACTTCAAGACTTTCATGTATTTTTATTTAGAGGATTAGAGGGTTATGGCGTCGTACGCTATTTATTTATAAATTGAGTATCCCCTGCACGTAAAAACCCGCATACGTCCGCCATAGGACGAAAAATTTTTTAAGCACCATGGGCAAGCCACGCGCAAATACGGTCTCGGCGATAATTATTTGCAGCAGGGATATAAAGCCTTGGCCCTATCGGGCCTCGGCTTTATACTATCCCTGCTGAAAATACTTATCACCTCGACCGTATTGGCGCGTGACTCGCCCAAGGTACATAAATAACTAATATATCTGCATTTGTGAATATAGATATACAAATACATGAAGTGAGCAGGTACTGGCTCCTGAGCAGATACTGGGGCTTTTACCTTACCTAAAAAAATAAAATATCAGTCATTTTTAAATGTGATTGTGATGTATAAATTATACTTGAATGATACAATATGTACTACTTTTAGTCCCACATCCACTATTTTAAAGAAAACTGATGAGAAATTTAATGCCATTATTTTAAATCTATTCATAACTATTATGTAAAATTATTTTCTTGCTCAATTTATTTAATAAATTTTACGTCAAAGATTTTAAATTTTGTACAGGAAATACTACATAAAATAGTTTTCTAAATATATAATTATATTCAAGTTGATTATTTTTTTTTTATTTCTCTTTCGATTACGATAAAGGTTTCTTATAAAATTCAGTTCTAAGATCGCTTGTTTTTTTGTTATTATTATACACGACTTAATACACGAAGCATTGGAGAGTGCTCTACAATCAAAAGATTTTTATACTTTTTTTAACTTCCCGCTAAGAAAATCAAAGATTTTCGAATATCGGGAAGTTATTGGTTTTACCCCAACTTGCAAAAATTGAGTTTTCATCAGATCTCGATGTTTTGAGGTCACAGAAAGCTTCGCTGACTATAGTCCGATCAATTTAGACATTCGAAGTTACATTAAGTCCCAACAAGCTGAATTTCAGTGAAATTGTTCAAAACATAATTATAAACAATGTCTAGAAGTTCCCCATCATTCCCGTGTAAGGAAAAAATTTTATTCAAGGTCAAAGGTCAAAAAAATGAGTTTCGCGATTTTTAGCAAAACAGTAAGTTTTATCATAAAAGTACCTCAGACAAAAATTGTAGATCATACAATTATCTATAAAAAATGTATCAATACTTTTTTTCTTACGAGCCACCGTTTCTGAGATATAACGATTCAAAAAGTTATAAAAGTTGTTATCGTCATACTATGCACATGTTTCCACGCCACCTATGAGGTAGTGTACTTAGCGCGTTTTTTTTAACGTGTTTTCCCCAGTAGGCCTACTTCACGGGTCAGTTGTGATCCTGTTTAATGTAAAACTATTGCAAAATAACGGAAATTTTCAAAGATTGGGAAAGATAAAAGCGATGTAAATTAAAAAAAAGTGTTGAAGTTTATTCGTCTTGTTCGTAAGTTTCAAATTCTTGTTCTTCTTCTTGATCTTCTTCTTGTTCTTCTTCTTCATCTTCATTTTGGATGCAAGTAAATTGCGTCAATAGCGATGTATCGCATATGTATCATATGATACTTCGTCGGAGTCAAACGAATCCTCCATTGTTTGTGATTCAATATTAAAGCACGACCGGCCTTGACAATTTGTGGATGCCAAAGAACAAGACAGTCCGACTTTTTTGCAACCACATTTAGCACTGCATCCCTTTTTGCAGTTGCAAAAAATAGTGTTCAGCAGTTTTTCCGGCCCAGGTGGAAGTAAAGTTTGAACGCTCTAATATATTGTTGACCAACTTCCAACCCCAGTCTGTAGGGTCTCGCTGATAACCAAGCCACACTTGAACTTGGTAATATACTCGGAAAGATGTTGGTGAGCAGCAACTGAGGTTGAAGGAAGACAAGCTAATTGAACTTGTTTTTTATTTTTAGTATTTTTAACGAAACATGCTTATCGATGCTTATCTAAACAGGTAGTTTTTTTAGGAGCTCCGTACATAGAAAGAAGAAAGCGGATGCCGTTGGTAATAACTTCTTGTTGAGTTGAATTACTCTTTTTAAAAACTTCAGCACATTGAATTAAATCTTGTTTTTCAAACATTTTGAAAACTGCTGTTTTACCCCTCCTGTAAAATGCAGATGTCGTATCACAGCCAGTTATTGCGTGTAAAAATAGTACCTACAATACCTGTAATTATTACAGTGAATGACAATTAAGATCCTGGATGAATGCTGATGAACTGTTGGAGGTTTATTTGTTCCATTGACTTGTATTTTAACACTTAACTACGCTGTGATACCGTACCTGTCGGGATCACGTGGAATAAATGCAACAGTCAAAACATGGCTTTGACTGAGTTGAATGCCGTAGCCACCAGAGGCGCCTCGGAGGCTGCCTCCTCTGGTAGTTAAATAATTGCTGGAGTTATCGATCACGAGTTGGTGGTCGGTAATTCCGCAACAGTATGCAAGACTTTTTTTGATTAATCCAAAAGTAAATTTTCTTTAATTGATTACGCAATTTTAAAAAATAAAATTAAAAACTAAAAATCTTTACAGGAGAGAAGAAACTCGTTGTCCTATTGATAGTCAACATTTAGAGGAGGGAAAAGATATTTTTAGAGATCGTTATACAAGCAGAGAAATATCTCAAGAACGAATACATTGCCCTCACAAAAATCGGGGTTGCTCTGTGCTCTTATCTCCATTAAAATTACAATCACATACAATGGAATGTGTTTTCAAAGATGGTGTGCAAGAAAATCATGCTTATCATTATAATATTGATGGTCATGTAGATAATACCGTTGATGGGAAATATAATTGTAGTACATTTACTGATGGTGATATCAATAATTGCTCATTAGTAAGTATTAATAGAACTTTATTATTACTCGTTAATTAAATGATTTATTGAATTGATAATTATAACTAAAAATTTACTGGAATATGCCATTTGACATCCGGTTCTTGACGAGACTCGAACCCGGGACGCTTGAGTCATGAAGCATGAACGAAACCACTACGCTGATCCGCCACAATACTTAAAAAAATTTTTACTACATATTATATTTTTCGTTCGTCGTTACAGTGATTGTGTCTAGAGTACAATATTAGTAATGATTAAGTTTTAAATAAATCCTATTCAATGTACATTTTTTTAAACAAAATATGTTTTTCACGAGAAAAAGTAGAGTCGAAAGTACTTATAAATAAATTTTATACATTTTTGTTAGTATTAATCTTGTTATATGACACCTCTGACTGACCTTCCAGGATCCTGAAGTTTTCAAGATTGGGTTTTTTTTATTTTCAAAGATGAATTTTTTACAGTGAAAGCTGTTAAGGTAGTACCCTCGCGACATATAGTGCGAGTAAATTTAGGTATAGTTTAGGATATTTTTGTCTTTCTCACTTGCTATTCCTTACTCACTTCTACTCATGGTTATTTTTGAATAATACAGTTATTTTTTAATAATATTTAAAAATCTAGATGGTAAAAATCAATGAAAGTTTGAAAAAAACAAATAATAGCTGTTTTTTAATAGTAGTTTAGTTTTTTATGAAAATCTTAAAAAAAGTTTCTTAGTTATAATAAAATATACGAGTAAAATTTTCGGTATCCCGTATATCACAGTGAGCTTGTTCAGCCGAACTAAGTCCTGAGTAAACTTAGTTAGCCTAAGTATAGTCAAAGCATTCCCTGCTATACATATATCTATCTACTATACTATACATATCTTACTAAGTTTACTCAGGACTTTTTTAATAATAATTTAAAAATCTAGATAGGTAAAAATCAATAGAAAGTTTAGAAAAAAAACAAATAATAGCTGTTTTTTAATAGTAGCTTAGTTTTTTATGAAAATCTTAAAAAAAGTTTCTTAGTTATAATAAAATATACGAGTAAAATTTTCGGTATCCCGTATATCACAGTGCATAACCTCCTCTAAAAATTCGAACTTTGAAATTAAATATCTCTGAAACTAGATGGTCCAAAAATTTCAATTTGCGTCAATCGATGCAGAATTATATAAATATTAATCTGCCAAAATTTAAAAAAATTCCTACGAAAACGCCTCTGGCGAGGGTACTACCTTAAAAGTTACCCAGGTTGTTTTTCTCGCTCTAGTTATGAGAACGTTTTATGAGAAATTGAGACAGAACTACGGTAGCTTTCAACAGCTTTCACTGTAATTAAAAAAAAATTTTTTCTTGCAATAAGTAAAATTAATAAAATAAAAATTTTTTAATATGAAGCAATAAAAAAAAATCTGGAAACGGTTGACCCTAAAGGCCATCCCTGCAACTTCCCGCTAATCCCATATCTAAGTGCTTAAAATTTCACTTATGACGTTTTTGAGCTCTTCGAGCTCCAAAATATAATCCATATATGTTATTTTGAGCTCTCCGAGCTCAAAGAGTTAGCTGTTCTGAGCTTTTGAGCTGTTGCCAAATTCAGGCACAGGGAGAGACGCACACAGGGAATAAAAACCCTTTTTTTTGTACGAAAATTCAATTATGTAATGAAAAATTTTACATTTTTGTTTTAGGAGAATGCTAGATCTTCATTACTTCAAGTTAACGCAAATGAAAAATATGAAGCTTTCACAAAATCAGCTTTATCAGACAGTTCTCAGAGCCTTGAGGTTGACTTCGAAAAAATTACAGATTGGAAAAAATTAATTAAGTAATATGTTTATTTTATTAAATGAATCAAAACATATCAATCGTCAAGGCGATCATTAATCATTATGAATTCAATAAGCAACGCAAAATTATTGATAAAAATTTTCGTTAATAGAAGAGTAAAATGGCATTTATGCGCGCACGCATGTATGTGTGCGTGTGAGAATAATGAAAGCTCTCTGAAAGTTCGTCCAGTTATTTGATAGTTGCCATAATGATAAGGAAACTATTCCCATATATTATAAGAACCATACCTATAATAGTTACCGTCTTTCTACGGTTACCCTAGTAGCGTTTTGGTTCAAGTTTTAAGCAAGTCTGGCCTAAGAATCGTGATGAAGTATCTCCATACAGATTTCTACAATTCTGGGATTAGAAACTTTTTTAACTTCCCGCTAAAAAATTGAAAATTTTCAGAAATTGGGAAGTTATTGGATTTACCCCGCTTTTCGAAGAACGAGTTTTCATCAGATCTCGACGTTTTGAGGTCTTAGGAAGCTTCTCTGACGATTTTTACGATGGTGTCTGTATGTCTGTATGTATGTATTTTTTTTAAACGAGGAGGGGGGGGGACCTTTTAAAGACACCGATAGATGATGGTGTGGCTTAATGTATATAGAATAAGTGAAAGGAAATTTAGTATAGACCGGATAGCTCAAATGGTAGAGTAGCCGACATGTCTTCAGAAGGTTCTGGGTTCGAATTCCAGTCCGAGCTATCTAATAATTTTTTCTTGCATATTCTATAAACTCACATTAAGAAGATCCTTTCCACAATCCTTTCTCAATCCTTTCCTACCAATTATCCTGTTACGTGAATGTGGAACGCTTCACGTAATAATTACCGTAACTGTTATTCTTTCCCGCTTCACAGCATTATTTAAAAATTTGTACGGTTATCGGTAGTATGGGATTTCCACCCACTTAACCCCTCCCCCTCTTCTTGTTCTCCGAACAAAGGTGCGAGAAAGACTGGATCGGAACCGCGTTAGCATTACTCAATCCAGTCCGTGTTTCGTCTCACGACGCCTACTCCTGATTACTGGTCCCTTTCAGCGGTTTTTTCTTATAAAAGGCACTGTGCGTAGGCTGCGACAGCTGACCAGTTATCTTCATGTTTGAGCATATAGGTCACCAAGCTCACGGAGAAGAGCCTGGTGCCTATAATTTCTTCGGTGCTGCTTCTGCAGTCCTTCCACCGTTCACATTCGAAGAACGTATGTTCGGCATTGTCGATTCGGTCCGGGCAGTATTTGCACGTCAGCGTGTAGTGCAGTCCCATCTTGAAGAGATAGGTGTTATACTGTACGTGTCCTGTCAATAGCTGGATGAGGAAGAAGTCCGTGTCCCCGTGCTTCCGTGAAAGCCAGACGTTGATGTTTGGGATCAGGCGCACTGTCCATCTGCCGATCTCCCTCGATGTCCATCGTTCCTGCCACTCATGTAGCCTTCTTCATCTTCACTTTTGCCTCTTTAGAGTTGTCACCGTTCATTTTAGCGTCGTAGAGTTTTGCCCTCTCGAACGCTAGTAAGTCTTTAGGTGCGGCTTCCGCTATGACCATTACAGCCGCAGGCACAGGCAACCCTGAGAGCATCTCGCCGCTGCTCCGCTGCTATCTTACGCCGGTATGTCTTTTGCTTCAAGATGTTTGCCCATATCTCCACTCTGTAAAGCAATACTAAGTGGACTGTTTCCAAAAGGACTCTCCTCATTTTGATTCGTGGTCCCACCGTGTTGGTCATGACTTTCGACAGGTTGGATACTGTCTTGTTAGCTTTCGCGCAAGCGTTTTCGAGGTGTTCTCGGAAAGACAGCTTTTCGTCGATCACTACTCCTAAATAATGCAGTGCCCTTGTAGATGTCAGTGTTGTCCCGCCCATGTCGATAACGAAAGGTTTTTTGATCCACTTTTGTCGAGTTATGTCGAATTTTGTCGAGTTATTTGGCCGTGATGTCAACAAAGCCCGTGAGCTCTACTTGTTTCGGCAACGAAATTTTTAGGAACTCGTCGTAGTCTGCGTTCCATAAGTCAGGCCTTATAATTGAACCTTGAAGCACGCCTGCCGTTATATCATGTTTATTTATTTATTTATTCATACGCCAATCGGCTTTATACATTAGATTTACATCAATTAAATTTGGTTATGGGTGAAAAAAGAAAATAAAAATAAAAATATGTAAAAAGAGTATTAACATTTCAATAGAATTAAATTTTTGTGTCAATTTGAGATCTTCGAGCTCAAAACTCTAATAGCAGTTTAAAGACACAATTTTTTGAATTTTCAAATGGCAATAACTTTTGAATGAATGAACCGATTTTCACGCGTTCGGCGGCAATCGACGCAGTTTTTGAAGCTCCATGAAAAATTTTCAAGTTTAAATCGGTCGAGCCATGAATTTCGAAGTTATTACAAAAAAACACTTTTTTCGATTTTTTTCGACAACGATATCTCACGAACGCATCAACCGATTCTGACGTTTTTGGTGGCGATCGATGGGGGTTTTCAAGGTTAAGAGCTGATTAGTTTTTGAGACCGATCGGTTCAGCCAATTCGGAGATATTTAAAAAAATAAAAAAAAAAACAACTTTTTTTTTCACTTTTTTTACATTTTCTCGAAATCTACCGGTCCGATTTGGTTCCAACTCTCAGGAAATCTAAGTTTGGCGAAGCCCTTTCGAATGACACCAACCGCGATGAAATCGGTCAAGTCGTTCAACAGTTACAAGACCCTGGCGGTTTCAGCAGCACGGTGAAAGCACGGTCGCTTGACAGTTGTTTCACGGTCGTTTCGCCGTAAAAAGTTCGTTCTTACCGAGCGATCTATCAGTCAGCATCGGATACCGTTGTGAACGATGTCTACTATTAATTTATTGAATATATACGGTGTATACGCAAGTGAATCTACGATGTTATGACCCATGCTGTACGCTCAATATACTGTCGAAATACGGTGATTTTACGCTACTGTCACGGACAATAAAATAAAAGAAAATACTTCGGACAGTCTAGACCGGGACTCGAACCTGGTTCAAATGGTCGCGCGCCCGAAACTTTACCAGTTGGGCTATCTGAGACAACGCACGGGGTATTCGATTCAGTGACATGATAAGGTGTCAAAACCAAGTCATTTTTTTCATTGTACAGATAAAAATAGCTTAAATAAAGTTATATTTTTTCCAGGACTTCAAAATAATAATCGTAATAAATGATTCAAATTTTTGATGATTACGAAATTCTTGATTTCGAAATTGCGGTGAAATTATTAACTGTATAAAAAAAGATCTGAAAAAGAAATTGCTAAAAATTTAATTGTTAAAAAATCTCAGAATAATTTTTCTTCATAACAAACAATTTTTCCGTAATTTCGTAATTAAAGTTTTCGTCTCTAAAAAAAAAAAAAAAACTCAAATCTTTAATAAAGAATTCAAATTTTGGAATTACGGTGAAAATATTTGACGTGCAGAAAATAAGTTTATAGTTAAGTTGAAATTAAATTATAATGTATTAATTGATTGTTGAATAAAATATCACCCAATTAAAAAAAAAAAAAAAAAAAAAAAAAAACAAAAACAATGTTGATTATTTAGATTATTTAGATTTATTAATGCCAAGGCACAGATGGCAACTATAAAATATTACATAATAATATAAAAATATATAGCGATCATAATTTATAATTTATGGTTTGAGTATTTTTATGGAAATAAAATAAAATAAAATATTGTCAGCAATTTTTCTTCGTTGACTAGTAAAACATTCCTGACTTACCGACATTATACGCTCGTTTCACTTACAAACTACCGTGCAATGACAGACGATCGATCGATGATCTACGATTTTTACTTAGGTAAAAAATCGAAGAAGTCAAGTAAAAATTTGGTTTTTCGAAGAGTGAAGTATGACAACTATACAGAATAAAAATCATAAAGTAACAGTGAAAAACTTTCACAATGATACTCGTCGTTCACTGTCAAATGACGGCCGTTCGACAGTCAAGTGAAAGTCATTCGACGATCATTTGTCGACACTGTGAATTCACAGTACATTCACCGTCGTTTCACGATCATTTTACCGTGACCACGAATCCGCCAGGGTA